TGGGTCGTGCGCGCCGCCAGCCGAGGCGCTGGGATGCGGTGCCTTGCCTGTGCTCCTGCAGGAAATCAGTGGAGGCTTTGGGAATGGACCATCAAGCATCCCTCATGCCGGTGCCGTAAGGATAGGGTCACCCTTTCATTGCCTCTGGAAGCTGGTGTTTGCGTGGAATACGTCAGACCCAATAGATTTTGGGTTTATAGACCCAGTTTTGGCCTGGAAATTTGAAGAAAGGGTTGTACACGTCTGACTCCGGCTGTGCTACCCCCGCCAGCCGGGCTCGGTGCAGAGGGGAGGTGAGCGTGGGTGGGGATGGTGCGATCTGGCACAGCCAGCTTATTCCCGGAGCCTCTTCCAGCTACTGCAGCCAGAGCGAAAGGGGGGCGGCAGCTGATCTTCCAAGAATTCCAGCAGATTAACGCAGCGGTCGGCTCTGCCGCGCTGCCGGGGGAGTTGCTCCGTACCTGTGCAGGCTTTCCTTGGCCCGCGCTGCCAGGAGCTGCTTTTCCACTTGGGTTGGGGGGTTAATTAGCTGCTTTTATCGCAGCGGGCATTGGCTCCCCGGGGCAGCTTGGCAGCCTCCTTGCCCCACCGTTTGCTGTGCACAATCCTTTTCCACACAGAGCTGTTGTTACTTAAACGTAACGCGGGTTTTCCTTGTGTGTGAGAGACAGAGCGGTGGGGGGACGTGAGTAAAACCGTGTGTGGGTGAGAGCTGGGGGATGAGAGTGTGTGGGAGGGAAGAGGCGAATATGCATGAGGGAGGGAGAATATTTGTGCGTGCGCATCTGCATCGAGGGGAGCAGAAATGTTCGTGTGTGATTGTGCACGTGTACGTTGGGAAGCGCCTCCGTTGGCGAGTGAAGGACCTGACGCCCCCGCCCCGCCCCGTGCTTCTCTCCACTGCGGTTCTACCAGGAATAATTACACTGCATTTTTTCCCATCCTGTGCTCACCCAGGATTTCTCTGCTGGCAGGAGCCTGGTCTCGCTGCAGGCGGGAAGTCAAATCACGC